GCAGATGATGGGTTAGTATACGGCAGAGATAAAAATGAACATGATGAGCAACTACATGCAGTTTTGAGATGCTTCCAACAAGCTGGCCTCACTCTGAAATGAGAAATGTGAACATGGAAAGAAGCAGATATAACACATCATTAGCAAATGGAATTCAGCTGAATTCAAACAAACTGATGGCATTACTCGCCTTACCTGAACCTACAGACGTTTTTGCTATAAGAAGATTCCTGGGCATGATTAGTCATTTTTGGAAATTCTTACCAGATTTAGCTCATCTAAAAAAACCCTTAAAAGATCTCCTTAATGGTCAAAATATCTGGATTTGGGGAAGCCGCAACAAAATGCATGTAGTAAAATAAAAGAACTATAGGCATCTCCACCTGTTTTGGCACAATATTCGGTAAACTACCCAACAATTGTAGCAGCAGTATATGTTCATAGCGGTTAGAAACAGTGCTGACATAAAAGCAGACAAAAGGTGACCACAGACTGGTTGCCTTCATACAATCATAGAATATCAGGGTTAGAAGGGCCCTCAGGAGGTCATCTAGTCCAACCCCCTGCTCAAAGCAGGACCAATCCCCAATTTTTTCCCCAGATCTCTAAATGGCCCCCTTAAGGATTGAACTCACAACCCTGGATTTAGCAGGCCAATGCTCAAACTACTGAGCTATCCCGCCTCCCAAAAATAACTTCTCTTCACCCCAGATGGGGCTTGAACCCCTAATCCCTGTTTTAAGAGGGCAATGCCTTATCCATTAGGCTACTGGGGCTGCCTCATTTCAAGAAGCCTCACAGAGACCAAGCAACTGTAGGCCCAAATGGAAAGGGAAGCTATAGCAGTCATGTGGGCCTGTGAACAGCTCAGTGCATATCTGTTTTGCCTGAATTTTAACACAGAAACAGACCACAAGCCCTTAGTAGCACTATTGGTTCAAAACCATTGGATGACCTTTCACCTAGGATTCAAAGATTTTGACTATGGCTAATGTGATTTTCTTGCAACATACATACTAGGGAACGCACTCATAGCAGCGGACACTCTATCTAGAGTCCCAGTTGAGTAGCCACCAACAGAAGAGGTTTCAGAGAAAGATGTCAAAGTCTACATTGACCGTGTTCTGGCAGCAATTGCAGCATCTGCCAGCTGACTTCAGCAAATTAGAGATGAACAACTAAAGAATCAGACTTGCCAGAAAATGACTCAATGTTGCCAAAGAGAGTGGAGATAAAGCAGTCAACTTCCAACAGATCTGTTATCATACTGACAGGACTGAAATGACTTTCACATGGCCAAGGGCCTGTTTCTCAAAGGCCAGTTCATTCTTATCCCTGCAGTACTTCAGAAACAGATACTCTCCACAATCCACAAGGTATGCCAAGGTATAATCAAGTGCAGGGCACAAGCATAGCAACCTGTATGGTGGCCCAGTCTGAGTAGGCAAATTCCTTGGGACCTTAGTAGAGGACTGCAATATATGTAACAAGAGGAAGAAAAAAAAAAAAACAATTGCCAGAACCATTACTTTTTACAAAGCTACCTGACAGACCTTGGAGGTGGGTAGCCATAGATGTTTTTCTGGAAAGGACACATATACATTATTGTAGTTGATTACTTCTCCAGATATATTTGACTTGGCTATAGGTACGCAGACTTCATCGGCAAAGGTCATACAGAAACTAAAATCAATATATGTAAGTCATGGAGTTCCTGAAATCCTCATATCTGATAATGACCCTCTATTTACCTCTGAAACATTCCCAGAATTTCACAGGACTTTGATTTTGAACATGAGACTAGTAGTCCACATTACCCCCAGAGCCAACAGGGGGAGGTGGAAGGAGCAGTGCAGACAGAGGCGGATTAAGTTCTCCTGGGGCCAGGGCCAGAGCAAGTGGAGTGGTCCCAGCACTGAACCATGGACCTGCCTCACGCCTTCTGCCTGCAGCCCTGCCCATGGCCCCATCCCATTCTGCCCCTTCCCCCGCAGCCCTGCCCCTGTTTCCCCAGGGCCCCTGGGCACATGCCCCATGGGCCCATTGGATAATCTGCCAGTTAGTGCAGACTACAAAATGTTCTGCAAAAATCAGTGGACTCATATAAAGCATTCCTGGCATATCAATCAACACCACTTGCATCTAGACTATCTCCAGCAGAATTTCTCACGGGAAGATGACTAAGGATGCCTTTATCTGTGGCACAAATACAACTTAAACCTAGGTAGACCAACCTGCACGAATTTTGAAAATAGGTTGCCAAAATAAAAATTCAGCAGCAACAAAACATCAATGTTCAGCACAGAACAAAAGCGCTACCGAACAAAAGCACTACCTTTTGAGCTAGGGAACAAAGTTTGGCTCAAAAGCTCTCAGACATCTGGAACTGTTCTGAACTCCTCAGTCTCTCACATCCTAACTAGTGAAAACTCCAAACCCAGTGAAGAGAGGATCTGGGACCTGCTGGCACAGGTGCCAACTTTCCAAAGTGCTTGGGGGTGCTCGACCCCTGGCTCTGCCCCAGGCCCCGCCCCCCACTCCATTACTTCCCCCAGGGCCTCCCCACATCCCCACCTCTTTCTGACTCTGCTCCACCCCTGCCCTGCCTACCCAGTTCCGCCCATCCCCTGAGTATGCTCCTCCCCTCCGGGAACCTCCTGAATGCTGTGAAACAGCTGACTGCGGCTGGCAGGCGGGCGGGAAGCACAGGGAGGGAGGGGGACGCACTCATCCACAGGGTACACCGGTGGGCGGGAGGCGCTGGGAGCTAGGGAGAGCTGATGGGGGGCTACCGATGGGTGCTCAGCACCCACCATTTTTTCCCTATGGGTGCTCCAGCCCCAGAGCACCCACGGAGTCGGCTCCCCAGCCCCAGAGCACCCACAGAGTCGGCGCCTATGCCTGCTGGTACTTTGTCAGGAAGTGAGCCCCCTCCACAGGGAATGCCATGCACAAACTCAACAGAAGTGAGAAAACATCTGGAAGACTGATCAAAACCCCCTTAAAGACCTGATCTTTAGAATACTGTTCAAGACTATTTAAAAGGGAACATAGAAGTTTAAATAGTTTTAAGGAACTGAAGTTTATTTTGAACTGCTGTGTGTATACACATTGGTTTATAATTTAGGTTTTAATCTTATAGAGTACCTGGTCCTTCACCAGGTACCAGAGGGACCAGGATGTGTAGAAGCAGGGATCTTAATAAGTGGGGGAACTTCGTGGTTAGGGAATTCTCCATTTGCTGCTTAAAGCATGGCTCTCTATGTTTATATCCTCCTACTACAGAAATAGCACCACAAAGAGGTGAAGTGACTTGCCTAAAATCACACAGCAGGTCTATTCTGTTCTCCATAAGATTTTTATATTGTGCTTATCACTGTAGTATCTGAGCGCCTTCCAGTAGCACATTACTAACATTTGTTATGTGGTGGTTGTTCTCTCATCCTTTCCCCAGGGGGAGAAGTGTGTCCCGTGGAATGTTTTGGAAGGGTTTTTTAAATAGTAACATACCACAGGCACTGACTTTTCAAAGTGCCGGGGGTTCTCGACCCCCAGCTCCACCCCAGGCCCTGCCCCCACTCCACCCCTTTCCCTCAAGGCTCCACCGCCGCTCCACCTCCACCCCGCCTCTTCCCGCCCAGTTCTGCTCTCTCCCCCAAGAACGCTGCGTCCTCGCTCCTTCCCCCCGCCCCTAGCCTCCAAACAGCTGTGCGCAGTGGGCAGGAGGCACTGGGGGGTAGCAGGGGGAGACGCTGATCCGCAGGGCCCGCCAGTGGTCGGGAGGCACTGGAGGCAGTGGGGAGAGCTGATAGGAGGGCTGCCGGTGCGCGCACGCACACACACACACACACACAGAGCTATGTGTTTATATTCAAGAAGGTAAGGTCAAAGAATGCACCTTGCCCTTTGAGCAGAAGGCGATGAGGTTTGTGATGGCCCTCAGAGTTCATTCCATTCTTGAACTGACCCCCGAGAAAACTCTGTCTCTTGCACAGACAAACTTTACCCTTGTGGTAGAGATTCCATTGTGTCAGAGAAGCAAAGTTGTCAACCATGGTCTTCATTCTGTAACTTTAGATTGTCTTTTAGATATCCTAGGCACAGGCCGTGGAACATCTTGAAGATAAATTCTGAGACCTTCAACTTGATATTCTCTGAGAAGCCAGGGTAGAGAGCAGGGGACAGGTGTGATGTGCTCACAGTTGCCCGTGTTGCTGAGGTGATGCACTGCAATGTTCTATACTAGTTGGAGTTTCCTGAGAGCTGAAGTCTTCATGCCCAGATACATCACATTATTGTAGCCTAGCTGAGAGGTGACAAAAGCGTGAACAGCTGAGGTCAGATCATTGTGCGCCAGGATAGAATGTGTCTGCTAGCCTAATGGAGATGATAGAAAGCATTACTTCCACATGCTCATCAGGGGCAGAGCTGGGAACAGAGCCCAGGTCTCCTGGCTTCCAGTCCAGTGCACTATCCGCCTACTGCACTGCATTTCCTCCTTTAAGGTCTCTTCTTAAATAGTAAAAAAGAACCCTACCCTGCTCTACACCCCACAGAGCTCAGCAATGCTGCTCTTGGGCTTTCAGATGGAATGAGAACTGCTGGAGGGGAAAGACAGGGGTGAGGCACTCCATCCCCATCTGCTTGATCCCCCTCCCCATCATCTTCCAATTATGAGAGGAACACACTGCATGGGCCCTCTGCCCCTCCAAACAAGGGCAGTTCATCTCCTAGAAGGGGGTAGAACCTATGGCAGGGAGGATCGGGAGCGCAATGCCTCTCGCTCCCCCAGCTCCTCTTACACAGCTTGGGAGTAGAGGAGCTCCGGGCTCAGCGGGCTCCCCAGAGAAAACTGGCCTAGGCCCCACCCTTCAACCTCAGCCGTCTAGTCAGCGCCAAATAGAGACCCATCGGGAACAGCGAGCGAAGGCCCGGGAAATATCTCACATTCACGATCCGCTGGGCGGGAGGAGGGACCCGGCAAAGCGCGCGCCCGCGGAAGGTGGTGGGGGGCTCGCGCGCGCCTGGGAAAATGTTGCGCAGATTCTAAAATGGAACGTTGTCGGCGGCGTGATTGAGCGCGAGGGGGTGTGTGAGCGTGAGTAAGACAGGGACCAGCGGCAGCAGCCACCACCGCACCCGCCGCCTTCTTGCAGCCAGTCCCCCCGCAGCGGTACGGGGAGCAGCCGCCTCCTCCTTCCCCCTGCATGGAGCTCTCTGCTATCGGGGAGCAGGTTTTTGCGGTGGAGAGTATCAGGAAGAAGCGCATAAGGAAGGTGAGGAGGGGGCGGGGGGCACCAGCATCTATTCCCCACCTCGCCCTCCCCTGCTGCAGGCAGGGGGGGGCTCCAGAGCCTACTGCCTGTAATCTCTCCCATTCGTGCACCACGCTGCAGGGAAGGAGGGCAGGGGCCCTGTTCCCGTCTTGCCTCTCGTACATATTCTGTGCTGTAGGGAGCGTGGTGGACACTGGGATCGCCCCATGCTGCAGGCATTGGGTATGGGGGCATCAGTATGTACCCCCAGCCATGCTGCATGCGGGGGGGGGGGGGGGGCGTGGTGATGGGTACTAGCACCATGCTGCGGGCAGGGGGCGTGAAGGGGATCATTGTCAAGCCCCAGTGCTGCAGGACATGGGTATGTTTTTCTGTCACCATGTTACAAGTAGAGCTGTATGGTGCGGGTCACCATCACCTACTCCTCCAGCGTCCCATAGAGAGGACAGGTACCATTTCCATACATGCGTCTCTGCATGCTGTTCCTTTCGGGGATGGAGAGAAAAATAGCTAGATGCGAGGCTTGTAAGGGAAAGAGGACCCATGCCTGTTCTTCTTCCCTTTTTCCACCTCCCACAATGAGGTCATCTTTTTCTTTTACCACGTCCCCTTAAATGAGTAATGACCTGGTCAAGAATAGGCCACCTTGCCAAATTTCCTGACCTCCCCTTCCTGACTTTTCATGCCTGTGGATGCAAGTCTTTTTGAGTGTGGCTTATATCTTCAATTCTTTGAGGATCTTAATTTGTAGTAAGGGTTCATTCCCCACACCCACATTTTTCCAAAAAGAAGAGAGGCACAGATGGACATGGGAGAGATGGCTGCATGTTTAACCTCTCACCTCTGCTACCTTAAGACAAGTCATTTTTGAACCATGTCCTGACTCTTAGGTGCTGAGCTATACTTGTGGTTTGAATGGACACTTCTGTAGATGATGGGGTGATTGAAAAAGTGCGATGAATGCAGAATTTGTTTTGAAATGCTGATGTGGGACTCTAGGATGGATCATTGTATAAGAAAGCATGGCTTTGTGCTTAAATGATAGAAGCGGGAGTTGAAAGAGCTGGGTTCCTACTTCTGACACTGACTCTTTTGGTAACCTTGGGCAAGTTATTTTGCCCCCCCCCTTTTTTAAATTGCCTCTAATTTTAGGTACTGTTTTTGGATGCTTGGGGGCTCTGAATTTTTTCAGGGGTGCTGAGCTCCCATTGACTTGAATTGGAATTGTGGGTACTCAGCACTTCTGAAATTCATGCCAAGATGTGACAGATTGGGCACCCAAAATCAATGGACACTCCTGAAAATGTTGGTCTTGAATTTAGTGACTGTTTTCACAGCTGTAAAATGAGGATGGAGAGGGTATTAACCACCTTATGGGATATTGTGAGGATTAACCCATAAACATCTGCAAAGTGCTTGAGAGCCTTCAGTGGAAGGCATCTTATAAGGCAGTATTTTTTTTTTCACATATTTGAAAGCTGAACCCCCCCACCCCTTTCAAGAAAATGAAATCAATTCCATGATCTCCCTTCCTTCTACAACCCATTGTGTATGTTAAGTGTATCTTAATTTGTATATTTTCGATGCCCTGCCTCCATAAGTATGTGTGTACACACCACACTTCAGGCAAACTTTAAGGGTAAAGTGATGCTGTTATTTATTATTACTCAAATATCATATCAGTTGTACACATACTCAGGGCTCTTGAACTGATTTCCATACTCTCCCATTTCTTCCATCTCCCCCCTATATAGTGAACAACTAATTGGATACCTTTAAATTCAGTTTTGAATTGCTGTTTGTTCAGGTCAGAACGTTGAGTGGCTTGGATGGAGGGGGACAGTGTTTGGGTAAAACATGTAGCAACTGGAAGGGGACATGCCAAAGAGGCATTTCATAGCTTCTAAAATTTTGTATTTCTTTTGGCTTCTTATAACTAGCCCCTCAGACACTTGTTCCATTCCTGGCATGAGTCTTCCTCCCATCATGTTTATGCATGCGGACTTGTTGTAGGGTTGCTCATGAGTTGTGGAGCTGTGCGTATGCGGTATGCCTGTTGGAGGGTTGCTGGGGCTCCGCCTTCTAGTACATTAGTCACTTTTGAAGCACCTGCAGAGCTGTGTTCCCTGGTTGATAGTAGGGTCATTTGAGAGCACTAGGAATACGTGTGCGTTTGCTTGTGAAATCTGTGGATTTATTCAGTTTGAAGAAAAGGCTTAATTTTTTTTAAAGGTGGTGATGGGGAACAAGCTCTTCAGTGCGCGCTGTTGCCAGTGCAGAACAAAGGGCATTCTCTTGACACAGTTTCTCCTCTTCCTGTAGTACCCATTTTGGGTTGCAGGGCTTACCTCTTCTTTTTGTTTCCCTCTCTCTAGGGTAAAGTAGAATACCTGGTGAAGTGGAAAGGATGGCCCCCAAAGTAAGTATCTCCTCCCTCCACCCCGCTTGTCAGTAATGGCTTTGGCTGTATTTCTGCTCCCCATGTTATTAACATATGTTCTCTTGTGCCTTGCTCCAAAAAAGACAGACAGCCCCAAACAAAGTCTATGTACCCATATTCCTGACTGACTTAATGACTGGTGAGGCTGAAGCATGGGCCCATATCCTTCAGTTGCCTGTCTCTTTTCTTTCCATTATCCTCTCCCCTCTGTAACTGTTCACTTGCTAACTACTTCCAGTCTATCCATCTTACACAGGAAAACTCCAAGGGAAACCCAGGTGCTAGGGTTTTAAGTGTTACATTCAGTAGGTGTTCTTCCTCCCAGGTCAATACTGAGAAGACCCCCCCCCCCAACATATTATTAGAGGGTGGGTTGCATCTAGAAGTGCTTCCTTTTGGATAAGACACAAATTGTGAGCATTATCTCTTATAATTAAAGATTTCCTTTCATGAGAGAAGAGGCACTGACTCAGATTTACTGGTCACAGTCCTCTGTGTTGCCTTTTGAGGATTCCCACTATTTTCCATTGGTTAGGGTATATTTCTGTTCCTGTCCTAAATTATTTTAGTAGTTAGTTTAGTCTTCCCCAGAAGTGGCTGCATTTCAATTGGGAGTGACTTTTTTGGCAAGGAACAATCTGTAAAATGCTGTAAGATGAAAGGCATTATGTAAAATTATTACTGTGTGAACTGCCTGCCTAAAAGGATTATGGACATCTGTCTTCACTCGTCTAAAAAGAAGTTTAAACATCCCCAGATGCCCTGTCTCACCCCCCAACCTCCACTTCCCAGGTGTATGTGTGCGTGTATACAGTCCCTATCTCTTTGGTTGGTGTGGGAAGAGAGATTTTCTTCCTGGCTATAAATTCTGTGATCAATTTAACCCTGTGCACTTGAGTACCAATCTCTATAGTGCAGTTTAGCACCAAAGCCATTTTCTGTGGACCTGCTGACTTTAGAGTTAACTTCAGCTTTTTGTATTCAGGCATTCAGATTGGTAGCATGTCTGCACTGCTAGAAGCACAGAACATTGGTGTTTGTCCCCTGTTACTTTCCACAAGTGCAGTCACTCCAGTGGTGCCTATTTCACTTCTGCTTGATCATTAGTCAGTAGGAATGGGTGGACTGAGTTTGGTCTAATAGCTCTTCTGAAGGACAGTGCAGCACTTACCTCCTTTTGTCTTTTTCTTCCTTCCTTCCTTTCCCCCAGACCTTGAGATCCGCAACAAAACAAAATCCTAGCATGGGCATTTGAACCCTCACAGCCTCCTGGCTCAGAGGCGAGAGGATTCCTTGTTTTGCTGCCATAACACCTCAAAACATAAAAATATGAAACCCTGTTGATTGGTATCACATTTTTGAAACCTGTTCTCTCCAGAGCTAGCATTGCTTGAAACCTAAATGCTTCAGTTGTTAACTCTCTTCCTTCCTTTTATCAGTCTCTGTCTTGATCTCTGAATGCTCTGTACATGCAGAGGTGTGCAGCATACTTAGGTGTTTACATCCTAGCCTTCCAGCACATCCCGTCTCCCCCTACCCATCTTGGTTTTCTCTTCCTGTGTGTGTGTGTGTGTTGCCATTTCTGATCTCCTTTACCCGTTATTCAATTACTCCCACTGTGGTGTTGATGGAAAGGGGTAAAGGGTCGGGTACAAGTAGTGCATTTGCTTCTTTCCTGTGTGTTCCATGTACTCTTCTCAAATTTCCCTCATTAATTTGCCACACCTATCAAATCACTGGGCTGTGCTGCTGCAGGCAGGGACTGGAAGGGTTACAGATGTGACTCAGCCACAAGCTTGTTTACAACTTGTGTTTGAGGTGGGGGAGGGGAGAAGGAAGATCATGTGATCTGTGTTTTCCAGAGTGTGTGCTCTCTCTGCAGTTCTGCTGCTGCAGCCTGGACTCTGTGTGTGTGTGTGGGGCGCAAATTGCACCATGTTGTTTGTTTTTTTTTTTATATATATGCAGTGTTTTGTCACTGCAGTGAGCAGGGAGCTGAGCTGCAGAGGAAAAGGAAACACCCATCAGGTTTTTTGTAACAAATCCCCCTCCTCCTCTGCCATCAGAAAAGGAATCCTCTGGCTGATTTTTTCTCTCCCTCCTCTGTAAAAAACGAATGCTGAAATTTCTGGAAGGGAGAGAAAGGAACCTTCCTCTGCACGAATAACATCTTGACTTTGACAGCCTGTGCATACAGAGACTGCTGCAGGAGGCTTGAGTGAAAAGATGGGGGAGAGTTGGTGATGGTGGAGTGAGAGGGGACGGAAGAGTCAGTTAACAGGGAATGGTGAAGGCCTGTCTGTTCTTAACCCTGTGCCCTGTCCATAACCTTCTGAAGTAAAGCACATCTTAGAATTCCTGGATTTCATACCTGTCCTTCTCCCTTGTTGAGGAATCTACATTAGGGTTTCTAGAATCATCCTCGGGAATCTCCCCTATCTTGGTACTCTCTTCTGCCTCAGAAGTGAATGTTCCAGAACCACACGCACAATATACACCTCTTCATCCAAAAACCAGACCCTTCTGTAATAATTTGGCTTGCTGCTCTGCTTCAGAGATGTTTGTACAAACACCACTGCCCTGCTTGTGATTTTTGGTACCACTTCTCTCTCCCCTTCAGGAATGTATGAGATTGTGTGCCCCGCTGCATGGGTGTTAGACCTTTTTAGTCCAGAAAATAAATCACTCTGGAACATTTTGTTCTAGAGCTATATTCTTCTCCCTGGTGGGATGGGCATTCCAGATGTATACCACCCCCAGTCCCAGTCAAACATGACCTTTGCGAGTGGTAACCCTTCCAGAATTGTTCTCTTGCATTTAGCTCTTCCATGTTCTAGCTCTTCTCTGAAAGCGGTTTTTAAGGACTTCCCCATAGTCAGAGTGTTTCGCTGATACCACACCTAACCCCTAGTTCCTGTCTCAGCTGCATAACAGTCAGGGAGGAAGACGGGTTGATGACCTTTCTGCTCTGCAGCTCTGCAAGGCTAGCTTCTGTTTTCTGGGTGCCGAGTTCGGAAGCACTATTTCCAGTCCTCCCCCCTCATAACACCTGGCTTATGTTAGATAGTTTCTGTGCCGCTGAAAACAATATGCATGCATCCCTTTTTTTCTTATCCCAGTCTAGAACTGGTGTATAAAAGCTAATTGATCAGCGTCTTGTCACCTGTAGGAGGAGTTAGGTGCATAAGAAATAGCAAAAGGTCTGAAGGCTCACAGTCAACTTACTTTAGGCCCCAAATCTAGGTGTGTGTTTTTGTTTTTGTTTTTTTTAAATCAGCATCTGTGGTGAAAAATCCATTCAGCTGTTATAATCCTTTCATCTTCAATAATCCGAGATTGTTTCTTCACCTGTGTTGTTAACTTATTAATATTTCTGCTTAGGACTCTATTAATCTCGAGTGTCCTGTTTTCTTGAAAATCCCATCCAGCCGGGCCCATTGCCTTAGTGGTTAGTGCTCTGCCAAGGGGGAGAGCTGGATTTGCTCCCCGAGTTGGGAGCAGCACTGCAGAGCAGATTTGCTCAGCCTTCAGTGGTGGGAGTAGTTTATGATGCTCCTGCTGACTTTAAGAGAGGTTTCGAGGGGGCCTGTGGTGGGAAGCTCTCTCTCTTCTCTCACAAAGAGTGGATGATGTAGGGTTTAGACTGATTCAGAGGGGTGTATGCACATGTGAAAATGGGTGATGGGAAGTCCCCAAAGCTCTCAAAGTGGTGTGGCTGATCCCTGACCTCCCACTGAGGAGCGATCTATGCATGGGAGGCAGGTTCCAGGGCTTCAGCAATGCCAGTAGCAGCCCTTGCAGAGAAAATGTTTCACTGAAGCCTTTTTAAAATATATTCATTTTTATTTCTTCAGATACAGCACATGGGAGCCGGAGGATCACATCTTGGATCCTCGCCTGGTAGTGGCTTATGAAGAGAAGTAAGAGGGCTCGTTCCCCCCCGCGCCCCTCCCCCCCCCCCGAGGCAAACTTTTAATAAAAAAGTCCTGTATGCATAGAATGGGCATAGCACGGGCAGCAGGGGCATAAGCATCTCTCCTGTCCTGCCAATATGCCTCAGTCGCCATCAAGGGTGGCAGCCTCTTGGAATGTCTGGTTCATTCTCCATGGCCTATTCAGCCCTGGGACTCTGCTGAGACTGGCAAGAAAGAAGTCCGTGCCAGTCATGGCGGTTTTTTGAGAAGGACACTTCTCCTCTCATTGCCCAAACGCTGCTGGAGAGCTATTGTGAATAACTTCCAGTCGCTGCCACCTGGGCTGGATATAAACAGGTGACCTAGAGGCACCATATCCCAACCTAGATCAACTGAGCTGTGACCTTTCCTTCCCAACAAGGTTTTTACTCCCACAAGAAGCAGCTCTGGGGTTTTCTCCTCGCTCATGATGCTGGCCTGTGGGGTTTGGTGAAGGAATTAAGGGAACTAGCTAGATACGGAGAGTGGAAGCCCTAGTTGGGCCTTGAGCTGTGTTGTTCTGTATTGTAGTTTGTCATGTTGTGTCTCACATTTTTTCCTTACAGGGAAGAGAGAGACCGTGCATCAGGATACAGGAAGAGAGGGCCTAAACCGAAGCGCCTCTTATTACAGGTAACCTTTCACTCTTCCTGGCATGTCCTCTCCCATCCTTAGCCCCTTCGGTACTGCGTCTATGGATCTTCCAGGGTGGAGCTGACTTTCTGTTTGCAATGGTATATCCTCTGACTATCTGTACTAGGAAGAAAGGTGGTGGGTTTCAAACATAATAGCTAACACGCTTTAAAATCTTAGTGTAGACAGGGCAAGCTGCAGTTTTGACCCACTTAGCGGATTGAAATGAACCCAAGGCATTCCCATCGAGGGCGTGCCTATACTCCCAGGCTGGATATGCAAACTTGTGTTGGCAGGGCTCGCGCTAGCGTTGCAGCAGTGGCAGAAACTGGCTAGCGCGTGTTAAAACTAGAGTGTGCCCTGTCTATGCAAGGATTGTACAATGTGTCAGCTGGCATGTTAAACATCTCTTGTTCTAATGTGCACACGTCCCCTTTCTTTGCTGCTTAAGGCTCTGAGAGGGCACTGAGAGCATCCCTCTGCTGGAGATTATCCCTACCTGAGGGATGGAGGGGGTATGGGCGAGCACTTGGATATTCTGTCTTGTAAACAGCTCTCCAGTGAAGCTTGTGCCTCCGTGTTAATGTTTATTTTCAGCAAAACTTAAACCATGCTCAGGCTCAGATGGAGCTGGCCTGTAGAGGGTCGTTGTGGCAGTGGAGGAATCAGATTAGGGCAAGTGGGTTCCACTGTGCAGAAGGGATGGCTGTAGGTGCCCTGCAGGGCAATTAGGGCCAGGTAAGTACCTAAACAATTAGATTTCTAGCATAAAAGAGATGCTACCTGTTTGTGTGCTCACTGGATTCACCCTGTGAGAGACCTTAGAGGACCGACAAAAGATGGGAGGGGAAATGGAGGCACAGAGGGGTGAAGTGACTTATCCAAGGTCATTTAGAAGACACAAGAGTAGAACCAGGTCTCCTGACACCTAGACCAGTGCCTAGGGATGGACCAGGCTGTCTCAAGAGACTATTCTGTACAGCAGCGGTTCTCAAACTTCATTGCACCATGACCCCCTTCTGACAAGAATAATTACTGCATGACCTAAGGAGCAGGGTCTGAAGACCGAGCCCTGTCACCCTGGGTGGTGGGGGCCAAAGCTGAAGTCCAAGGGCTTCTGCCATGGGCAGGGGGCATGTAACCTTAGCCCTGAGAGGTGGGGCTTGGGCTTCAGACTTCCTGGTTGCGACCCACTTTGGGGTCCCGACCTACAGTTTTAGAACCCCTGCTGTACAGTAACAGCTCTTGCTGTTGGGACTGTTGACTTGATGCATTCATCTCAAGCTTTCCCTCTGCTCAGTGACCTTGCTGTACAGCTGTCTCCTCCCTAGGCATTTAGGCACCTGTAGACAGTTATTCCCCTTCCTCTTAGCATGGTTCTGTCTCTGCAAGGGCATTGAAACACACAGGTGCTTTAGTTCTGTTACTCTGGGATGATTGGCTTTTCTGCTCCTTTCCCATTCACAGAGGCTTTACGGTATGGACCTGAGGAGTGCCCACAAGGGAAAGGAGAAGCTCTGTTTCTCTCTATCACGGCGATTTGGAGGAGGAAGCAATCTGGTGGGGGCCAAGCCAGGACAGACAGAGCTATCTGAAAAGAGTGGGGGAGGCGTCCTACCATTCCCACTCCGGAAGCAGCGCAAGAACCAGAAATATCTCCGGCTGTCGCGGAAGAAGTTTCCACGCATGTCAAGCCTGGAGAGCCGTAACCACAGGCGTGAGTTCTTCTTGAAGGAGTCAGTGGCACTAGAAACTAGGCAGACTCCCAATGACTGGGATGCGACGCAGCATGCTAGCAAAGAAGGTAAGGCCAGGGACCCCATTTGACTGTGAATTCAGGGGCATGAGCGTGATGCTGTCTGATTTCGTTTACTGGACACACACTCTTCCTCCTTGCCTACTGCATCCTGGGAGTGTGGTTTTGGGTCAGCTCTTTACAATGTGTGCAAAGATTATAATTGGCAAGGTTGTCCCCAAACACCTCTGCAAGTTGTCTGGATGAATAACTCGGTTAATCTATCAGTCTGCTTCTGTGGTGTTGCCACCTATGTGTTCTTATATTGGTGACCATCATCATAGTATCAGAGTGCATGTGAAAGCTAGTGCTGCTTCTCTTCCCCACTGCTTTTCCAGAGGGATGACATGGCTGTCTGTTGCAGTGAGAAACTGTCTTGTCATGTTCCAGCATATAGTCCTTCCCCACACCCTGATAAAGGGAACCTTCAAATGGATAAATTCACATACTCATCATCCTCTCGCAGTGCCACTTTGAGGCATGTGTGCAAATGTCAGTGGGAACCCTGCCCTCCTCTCTGCCACCCAAAATCCCTTTACATTAATATTGTGCTAAATCATCAGCTTTGAGGGTGGGGTGCAAAGGTCACTGGAATTTCATCAAATGTCATAAGCTAAGTAGGGCAGTAAGTGGATTGCAGACCGCCAGGCAAACCCCGGAAGCTGCAGGGCGGGCTCATGGCATCTCAGGAGTCATATCCTTCAGAGTCAGTAGCAAACCCCATTACCCTTGCATAGTTTGAGCTTCTGAAGGTGCGGTTTTCCTGTCGAGATGTAAAATCAATGTCATGGCACTCCTGGTAGGAGCAAGGTGTTACCCAAGTTAGAATTAGGTTGGGCCATGGGGCTAATTAGATTCTGGCGATCTAAACTTTCCCTTCTAGTTTCAATTGGAGAAAGTACTCAACTTCCCCTCCACGACTGTCCTGTAGCACCACCAATGCAGAATGGCTGTCGTGCTGCATATTGATGGTGGGTGATGTGATCCCTAGCTGTGCAGTCTGTAAAGCAGTTTGGGATCTGAAGGATGAAAGGTGCTAGAGAAATGTAAAACTATTTTTCTATTCTCCCCTCGACGTGTGCACATTCGGAATTCCGGTTAGTGTCTGGGTGAATGGACTCTTTCCGAGGTGAGAGTAGAGACACCTCAGATATCTGAGACAGAAGCCAGGAAATGCCCAGTTAAGGGGTCCACATTCCATACCCAGGTGGGACAACAGGGTGCAGTACAGGTAAAGTAATAGAGAGGGGATGTTTCCCTCCCCTCTCCATATATTTTTGTGGCTCTCTTTGGGTGCGGGTTTGTTCAATCTGTTCTTGAGTTTTTTACACTGTGGGGAAGTGGAAGTGGGGGGTATTTGGGTCCCTCACTTTGAGTGGTAGAGATTAGGAGCTCCAGGGGAGAGTAGATGTTTTTAGCTTCCTCTCCTCGGTGGGGAGGAGCAAAGAGGAAGACTCTTGTAACCTTTGGACCCCCAAAGGAGTGGCATTGATGGGCTTTGGAGAGAGTCACATCCAGCCCTTCCCTTGGCTGGATTTGGAGGTACAATGGAGGAAAATCCTCAGTTTGTTAGGGCCCCCTTAGGCCCAGGGAACATGGGGTATCGGGGATGAGCTTGAAAAAAATGAGTTCTGATTGTTTGTTTTTTATTTTGGTTGATTGGTTGGGGTGGGGGTTGAATTTACACTACAGTGAACACGTGCACTAACCAGGAGACCTAGTGGGCTGAGATCCAGTTTCCAGATGTTTCCCCTAAAGTGGGATATTTTGACTCCCATTTGGAAAGAGGGTGGGGAATGTATAATGAAAATGCTGGTGGACCTGTAAGCATGGTGGTGCTGTTGGGGGGCTGTTGTAGTATCAGCCTGCACAGTTGATTGTGTGTCTGTCGTTCTTCTTGACGCTCTCCCTTCTGTCCCTCACCTTTCAATGTCCCGTTATTATCTTCCCACCTCTTCCCTCTGCCCCTTACTTTCTGTGTGGGAGGGTTAGACACCTACAGTGCCTTGGAGCATGTGCAAACTTGGCACAGGTTGATGTCACCCACCCATAGCCAGCAAGGGTGCTCCTCTTCTGTTAGCCCTTCATTCTTTTTCTAACGTGCTCTTATCCACCTCCCCCTCTGCAGTAGGCATGGATGCAGTTGATGGCAGCCTCCCCTGGATCCCCACCTTGTCCCCCAGCGAAGTGACAGTGACAGACATCACGGCGAACTCCATTACCGTGACCTTCAGAGAAGCACAAGTGGCCGAGGGCTTCTTCCGAGACCGAAGTGTGCAGTTCTGAATCTCCATTTTTAATGTTCCTAGTCAGATTCTTTTGGGGATGGGGTGATTATTTCACTCTTTAAAAATATCCAAAATGTTTCTTTTAAAAAATGTTTACAGAGGAGGGTTTTTTTTTGTTTGATTTTTTTACTGAAGTCTCATTGATTTTTCTTTTCCCCTTCAGATATGCAAAAACGAAAGGCAATGTACGCGGTGCCCGTGTTTTTGTTTGTTATACTTGTCTGTTGTTGCTTTGTCCGTCTGAGAAACTGATACCCCTTTCCTTGGCAAAGACTCCCCTGGTAGGGCATTTTGAGAACCTTTTTTCTCTATGTATTTCCTTTACTCTGTTAGTTCTGACAGCTGCATTTAGGGTGAGAGAGGACACGGAGATGGAGAAGGGGTTGGACCTATTGCTTGCTTCCCTGATTTGCAGTTGTTGTCCCTTGGATAAAGATGCTTCCTCTGGACATCACCCTCCCCATCTTCCTCCTCCCACCCAGCTAATGCAGTGAGATGTAATGGACCCGATCACTTTAGGTAACTCAAGTCTGTTACAAGCTTCCTCCCTTCCAAATGTTTTATCTGTGGCGGTATTGCAGGTAATCTGTTTGCCTGGGAAGGTAGGAAACTCCATGGCAAATAATGAATGGGACAGATGGTTACAGTGTGATTCCATGAAGAGTGAAGGGATGTCTTCCTTGTCTGCATGATCCATTTATCCTGTAACACATAGCTTTGTAATCTCCTAGCTGTGGTATATTAGCTACACATGCTCACTTTAGATTTCTGAGCCTTTAATAAAGGCATCACTGTAACTTAATTGCCCTTTAGGAGGATAACTGTATAAAGAAAAGGAGTACTTGTGGCACCTTAGAGACTAACCAATTTATTTGAGCATGAGCTTTCGTGAGCTACAGCTCACTTCATCGGATGCATACCGTGGAAACTATGTCTGCTGCAGTTTCCACGGTATGCATCCGATGAAGTGAGCTGTAGCTCACGAAAGCTCATGCTCAGATAAATTGGTTAGTCTCTAAGGTGCCACAAGTACTCCTTTTCTTTTTGCGAATACAGACTAACACGGCTGTTACTCTGAAACCTGTATATATTAACATAGTGGTACTCATTCTTCTCTATCCAGAGACCTTCCCAGAACCCTTCTATGATCTAGAAATATGGGAAGAGAAAGGTATTTATATGTAACCCCCCCACCCCACCCCCTGGGGGATGAGGATTCCCCCCAGGCTGAGAACCCCTGTACTAAAAGATTTACCAAACCCAGACTGTATATAAATATTGTCCTGAAAATGCTTTACTAAGTCAGTGAAAAGGGTGGCTCTCTTCTTGGGAAGAATGGCTTATAGAGGGATTGAAACATTGCCTGGCAGTGCTGGAAAACCGCAGATAAGGGCAGAGGCCAGATGCATGAGAAGTAAGCAGTGAAACTGGACTTTAGCTGGTCAGTTTCCACTTTTAGGTAGTTTTTTTTGCTCTCTGATCAAATTTAAAGGGCAAAAGTGAATAGCATAAGGGCTGGGAGGAGTCTACTAGACTTCTAACATTTTTTAACTTTTAATTTATCCTCTAAAGTGATAAGGACTCTTGGACTGAGTGTCCTACTTATATTTTCCCTCCTCAACTTACCATATCTGTGACCTCATCCTTATTTGTTCCCTTTACCAGGGGAGTTTCCCTTTTGAGGGTTTAAAAAGCTTTGCCAAGGAAAGCCATCTGCAGTTCTATAGACTGCACCTGATCTTGCACTTAAAAACGCCTGGAGATTTGTGCTGGATTCTACCTGTGACATTTTGGGGTTTCTAAGAATTGCTGTATCTTCAAAGTTGATGTTTAGCATCTGTTCTTGCATGCTCACTCTCTTCCTTCTTTATTTTAAACTTAAAAATCTTTCTCTCTGTGGAAAGCAAGAGGGGAAAGCTAGGGCCTTGGGGGGGAATTGTGGGGCAATGTGATACAGTGCAGACTTGACTCTTTCTTCATTTGCTCCCCTCCTTTAATTCCTTCCCTCAAAAAAAAAAAAAAAACTTCATCTGCTGGTTTTGTGCTATCTGAAGCTACTTTCATACAGAGCTGAAGCTAAGTGTTAGTGTAAATCCTAAATGCTGTTTCTCTGCAGCTCTCCCCCTGGAGGGCTTAGCTCCTGCAGAACTTCGGAGTTCTGCAACGCTGATGCTTTGGATCCTGCAAACACTTGCTTTTTACAAAGGTTTTGGACTGCTCCTAAGCTTGCTTTAAAAGCACATTTTACCTCTAATAAGCTCTAGCTGCTTACAGGATACTAAGATTCACCCTCCATTGTCTGAACTAGACTGCCTTCCACCAGGTCATGGTACGTGCGGGATGGATTGACACGCCCTATATTTCAGGTGTCTCGGTGCAAATATTTTTGTCCCTCAAAATAAACACAAAGTGGGGGATGCAGGAGACTGCCCTAGCTCCAAGTTTTAATGAGTGGTGAATTTTGAGAGGAGGGGTAGGGGGTGAAACCTGAGTTGATTTTTTTTTTTTTTAGTGGTGGGAGAAGGTGTCAGATGAGAAGAGGGAGTGCTGAATCCTTTTAAAAAAAAAAAAATAGAAACAGTGCAACCTGTGGGATAAACATAGACTCAGGACAAAGTTTGTCAATCGTGGTTGCCTAGAGTTATGCTTCTAAATACATATATAGTCACCTACATAGAAGTGTCCTCTTTCCCCATCCCTTCCCTCAAAAAAAGAGTGCTGAGCACCTGCATCTTTTACTGACTTCCCTGAGAGTTGCAGGTGCTCAGAATGTCTGAAAATCAGGGTGACTTTGATCCAGGTGACTCTAGATTTAGAAGATTAATCCTAGGCACCTGAGTTTGAAGAACTTACTTCCCAACTCCTTGTTCCAAACTTTTGTAGGATCTGGAAGAGAGGCTTTAACTTTTTTTTATATGTGGGTACGGCCTTCTATGCACTTTCCCCAGTTTAGTCCAGAAACACTGCAAGAAAAACTCTTGTTTGTGGATGTTTCCAGCCCTGGCCAAAATCTGCAAGGCAGCAGAAATCCTGTAAAGGGCAAGAAAAAAGCTTCTTCTCTCACCAGACTTCCGTTCTGCTTTTCTCTCTCTCCTTGGTGTCACGTCTATGCACCCATTGAGATTTTCCAGACCAAAGAATTCTGTCTTGACATTCATTTTCTTTGAAGAACACTGTTTTTGCAAACTTGACTGTAAGTGGAACTCTGGAGCCCTTGCAAACAGGATTCACCCACTGCTTCATTTTTAACCCTTTTGTAGATGTTTACTTGTATTGCTTCTGATGACTAATATCCTCTCCTGACCTAAAAGGATTAAGGAGGTATCTTGGTAGCCGTACTACCTTATGCCCAAGTCACTGGGGGGGTTAATTCATTTCCAGTTGAGATGCAGAACTTTGCTGATGTGTGGGTTGGCTTTTTTGGGGGCATGGAGAGAACAAGTGGGGAGAGGGTGTTTTGTGGTAGGAAACTAAACATGTATTTATCGATTTTTATTTTATTTTATTTTTTTGACACATCCTTAGCAAGGTTTGCATGTTGTAAAAATCAATCTTGCTCTCTTAACAGAATGGTTTTATTGTTTTTAGTCTCTGTAAAGTGTCGTTCTCTTCTGAAAAGTGACTAGAGAAATGGTGGCGTGGGCTCCAGGGTGGTGGAATGTCAATGATTTTCAAATCAAATGTGCTCAGTTTACAAGTGCAAAGTTTAACTGCAAACTCAGCCTGGAATCTGAAAGTCATGCGGGGGCCTTTTTGGCTGCTATCACAAAAATCAAAGATTCTGTGATTAGAGCTTCACTAGCTATTATGTTTGATGCAAGAGCCAAAATAGAGTCCAGTTGGAGCTTACTTTAATGATTCTGTTTGAAATATGAGCCAGAATAGAATCCAACTGACTCCCCTATAGCTCTGTTGACTGCAAGGCTGAAGCAATGCAGACTGACTTCAGCCAGCAGAATCGCACAAAAAGCAGGTCCCTTGAGTAAGAAGGGACTGTTCTTATAGAGTCAGTCTTCAGAACAGAACTGCACTGTAATAACTTGCCAGCAGTTCGTAGGGCAGGCAACGCTTGTTTCATGCATCTGTTCATAGTGGTATTTTATGTATTGTTTGTATCATGCCCACACTTAGGGGCCCCTGTCACATTGGGACTCGACTCCATTGTACTAGGCACTGTATAAACACTTGTGGAAGACTGCTTCGGCCCCCCCCCCATACCTTCCATCCCCACGCCCCAGTATTTTTGATTCCTCTGAGCACCAACTACAAATCATTTGTGGTATCTTAAGGTACATCTATGCTGGAAAAAAAACAACTCCTCAGAACAAAGTCTCAGAGCCCAGGTTAACTGACTTGGGCTCCCGCTATAGGGCTAAGCATACCAGTGTAGATGTTCCCATGTCCAGCCAAGCAGGAACATATACACCGCTATTTTTAGTCACTCAGCATGAGTGCAAGTCAGTTGACCTGGGCTCTGAGACTTGCTGCCCCAGGTTTTTTTTTTGTTTTTGTTTTTAAACAGTGTAGACCTACCCTTAGTAGCCCTGTGTCTCCAGCACACCCCTTATTCTCCTGTAATGACTTGGGCCCTTGGACGTGTCAAGTCCAAATTTGTTTTCAGTGGCAGACAGGATATTGTGGGAACACCCAAATGCAGTTCCTTTTGCCAAAATAAACCCAAGTCTGCCAGTGAAGTGACCCTGACTAAGTCAGAGCCTGAGACACAAACGAACATAGATGTGATTTAACATATCAGAACAGGGTGTTTTTGTTTTGTTAGTGTTGTGAAACTGTCTGGAAAGATTCTTCTGGTGTGTTTGATTGAATGTGTGAACTTGGTTTTGACCTCATGGGGCCCATGGCCCCAGTACTGCTTCCTGCTCTACCCCAGCCCCACTCTTAGTACTGTTTGACAGTTTAACTGGAATAGAGAGAGTGGCCTCATGTAGGCTGAAAAATAGGCAGGCTGCTAATAGGAGATACT